CCCGGAACCCAGAACCGCGCTATCCAGCCCCTGGTTTGACATTTGCCGAAACAGGGGCTGTGCCCAAAGACAGACTCGTTTTCCTTGTAATAGAATCTGGAGGAGGATGGAACGAGCTGGGAAAGCTGCCTCTGCTGCCAGGGCTGAGAGAGGGGCGCTCTCCTGCCCCGGGGGAGCCTGGGAGGGCCAGGAACACAGAGCCCTCACGTGGGGAAGGGACAGAGGGCGCCGGACCACCAGTGCATGGCGTGGGCCTGCGAGGAGGGAAGACCCACAGGGCACACGTCTGCTTGGATCCGAACAGCAGGGGTGGCAGAGAAGCCCACGCTGCCAGGAGGCACTCCTAGCTGCCCAACGCGCTCCTCCCGGCCTCCGGCTCCCCGGGGCCAATGTAAAGATGCTTTAAAAAACCAACGCCTTTGCCTCCGCTGTGGTGTTGACTTAGGGATAAGACAACCCAACTCCTCCTATATTTAGCGCATGAAAACCCACAGGTGTTTGATTCTAGGAGCTGCCTGGGTTTGCTCCTAGTTTTGTGTCCCCCTCCCTTCTCGGTTTCTTTGTCTGCACCTGGGAGCACGGCCTGCAACCCTTTCAGCTGCAGGAGGTGTCGACACCCCTCCATCATGTACCCTCCCTCTTAGGCAAAAGGGGTGCTGTTTTCATTTCCATCCTCACTTAAAACTTTATGCCAACGTCCATTAAGCATAGGCCCCCTATGCTAGCTCAGTTTATAAATATATATATATATAGTTTTATTGATTTCAGAGAGGAAGGGAGAGGGAGAGATAGAAACACCAATAATGACAGAGAATCATTGATTGGCTGCCTCCTGCACGGGATCTACTGGTGATGGAGCCCACAACCTGGACATGTGCCCTTGGCCGGAATCGAACCCAGGACCCTTCAGTCCACAGGCTGATGCTCTATCTACTGAGCCAAACCGGCTAGGGCATAGCTGTTCTTGACTAATCAGTGTAACCAGTCCCTGTGGCCTCCGTCGTAATACTGTTTCCTAACCATCGGTGGTTAGTCTCTGTCGGAAGGTGGATGTTTGCTCTTTTGTGTCTCATCCACGTGCTGCCCTGTTAAATACATGTGGGAGCAAAACAGCACATCACCGAAGGGCCAAGAGCTTGAGCCCCGACATCTGACACCCCACTGCCCGGTCCTGGCTCTGCCACCCTACGACGCGTTGGCTTCCCCTGGACACGCAATGGTCCCTCCTCCGCGGTGCTGGGGATTAGATGCTGGTGCCGAGCACAGGGCCTGGCGCCTGTGATAGTCCCCAAACACGGGAGCGAGCCTGCAGCAGGTCCCTGCCCCGGCCCCCCTGTCACAAAGGGAGGGCTGTATGAGGGGCCGCTGGCCTGTCCAAGGAATTCCTTCCTGCAGGAGGGGAAGCGGATCTATTACCAGGCAACTCAACACCTCCCTGGCCTGAGAGGGGCTGGCGTGACAATGAGCTTTTATCTGCGCGGCTATGGCGGTGGGGAGGGTCCGGTCGTGGTGCACAAGCTGACCTCTCACCAGACACACAGCTCGGGAGACCCCGGAGTGCTCCGAGCCCCTGGGAGTTCCCTTGTCTGTGGGAACACTGCTTCCCCCCGCCCAGGTTTCCGAGGCCTGCAAGCTCCACACGCGCACCGTGTGGTGGGTCATCCCCAACGCCGCAGTCAACTGTGAGCGACGGTCCTTCCATTCTCTCACGGCTGGAGCTTCCAGCAGAGCCCTGAGCAAAAGCTCGGGCCCGACCCATATTGAATGCACTGCGACTGTTTAGAAAAGTCCAGCCAGAGTCACGGTTGTGCCCTCTCTCCCTCTCTCACTTCCTCTCCCCCTCCCTCACACACACACACACACACACACACACACTACCGCTCCGGAACCCTCCCTCCAGGTGAGCATCTGAAAGAAGGCGGGTGACTCTCCCAGGACCACTTTTAAGGAATATCCCCCCGTGAAAGGCAGCCCGCGTGGGGACTTGCTTTGATGATAGGCCTGGCGTGGACAGACCTGTGCCGCGGTCGTGGCTGGCATGGGTCAGCGATTGCTGGGAGCCTGAAACGGAGCCTCCCACCACGGCCCAGGTCCCCCGCTTTCGGACAGGACAGCACTCACAGAAACCGGCTCTGGAGAGGGGCGCCCTGCCAGGACAGCGCGTGTCCACCTCCTCCCCCAGAAGAGGGACACAGCCCCGTACAGGACGCCTGGGAGCGGGCGGCAAGAAGCCAGCACATGGGCCCAGCTCTGCTGTGGTCACTTGGGACAGCGGTCACTTGACCTCACCAGCATCCCCCTCAGCCTGTGAATAGGGGTGGCAAGTGGACCAGGTGCTGACCACGGTGCCAGCCGTCGTCTCACCAGATCTCAGACGGCCCCCCCCCCCCTCAATGTGCCTCTCCTTGACCTCCCTTGTTTGGAAAACCCTCGAGGTCCTGGGGACGCTCTTGGCATCTTCCAGCAGATGATGATCCCAGATTGACAACCAAAGTAGGTTGCTACCCCCGCCCGGTCACCACGCGCACGGTGAAGGAGCAGCAACTGCCCCCTAATTGCAAACACACTGGACCCTGGAGATCCTGGTGCTCACGGCTGCACTGCTCCGGTGCTGAGGCGCTAACCTCGGAGGTGACGTGGGAGAAGCTGTTCTAGAACACCCGGAGGGAAAGGCACTGCAGGTACTGGGTGGGTGGGGGTTCAGAAGGCGGCCCGGGAGTGTGAGGGCTGCAGCCGCAAGTCTGGGCCGCGTTCAGGAGGTCAAGAGCTGGTGACCCGCAGTGTCACTGTCCGGGAGGTGACTCCGGTTCCGGAGAACTGAGCACCACCACTTCCCACGCATGTTGACTGCATGTCAATATTGGCCTGGACCGGAATGTTTCCTGGCACCGCAGGGAGCTTTACAACACACCCAGGTAAACAGCCAGCACTCAGCCTCCCGGGGTCCAGTGGCCCCCCGTCCAAGTCCTCCAGGGACGAAGCGCCGAGCTCAACATTTGCAGCAGCAAAGCTCTGCCGGTTGTGTGGGAGGCCGGGGAGGGGCCATGAAACATGCAGGTGTCCCCCATGGGGGGAAGAGCTGACGCGACCCAGGAAGTGCCCTAACAGAAACAGCAGGCCGGAGACGGAGGGTGGGAAGGCAGCGAAGGAGTGACATCGCCACGGGGTGCCCGGGGGCTTCTCCACATGGTGGGGGGCATGGAAGGACCTGTGGGCGCTGGATGCCGCTTAGTGGAGTCGGTAAAGGGCTGGGAAGGTGCCCTGGAGCGAGCTGTGCCGGACGCCTCAGGTTTTTAGGTCTGACACCTGCCCTCGCACAGTCAGGTCTCCGCAGGTTTTACGGTATGGGCGGGCATGGGGACACCGGTTTTATTTTTAAAAATATATTTTTATGGATTTCTGAGAGGAAGGGAGAGAGAGATAGAAACATCAATGATAAGAGAGAATCATTGATCGGCTGCCTCCTGCACGCCCCCACGCTGGGAATCGAGCCCACCACGTAGGCATGTGCCCTGACCGGGAAGCAAACCTGGGACCCTTCAGTCCGCAGGCTGACACTCGATCCGCTGAACCAGGCCGGCTAGGACCGCATCTGTTTTAGAAAGAGCCCACGGATGAGTCAAGAAAAATAACAGGCGAAGTGACAAGACTCATGAGGTAGCCCACGCAAGTGCTGCAGGCAACACCACAGGGGCAGCGTCGAGGAACACCGTGAGGGAACAGGCAGTCCAGGGGAGGAGGAGAGGCGCTGGGAGCTGGCTCACAGGCAAACATAACAGGATCGTAAAACTGCTCTTTGATTTGGGCCCAATTCTGTGATCACGGAGGGAGGAGAGTCACCCCAACCTTCCTGAGCAGTTCTGGATCCAAAGTCCAGCCACTGCGAGGAGAGGATGACAGAGGAAGTCAACGCTAGGGCTGCAGACAACAGGGATGGTGGGGGCTGGCTTCCGAGGGGTGTCATCGAATGGACACCCTCAAGAAGCGACCTGGAGGCAGACTCCACGCCTGCTGCCCTTGAGGATGCTTGTCTCAGACGGAAAGGTTTGAGGAGAACAGGCAGGCTGAAGACAGGGGGCGAAGCATTTTTACACAAAGATGTACATTTTTGTTTTTGGTTTCTGTTGTTGTTCCTCACCTGAGGATATTTTTCCATTGATTTTTTAGGGAGAGTGGAAGAGAGAGGGAAAAACAGAGAAACATCGACGTGAGAGAAACACATTTATTGGTTGCTTCCTGCACGCGCCCCAACCAGGGCCCAGGCCAGGGAGGAGCCTGCAACCAAGGTACGTGCCCTTGACCGGAATCGAACCGGGGAACCTTTGGTCCACAGGCCAATGCTCCATCCACTGAGCCAAAACAGTTAGGGCCAGCCATACATTATTTTTTTTTATGGCAGTTACAGGAAAACTGTAGGAGTTCAAGAAAGAACAGCACGGAAGAGAGGCCATGGCAGGGGCAGGGCTGGGGGCAGAGGATCAGGAAGCAAGCTGGTCGCCGGGTGCGATCTAGTCTCTCTCTGTACCCTCCAGACGCCTATCCATACCAACTGCCGCTCGTTCACTCCTGAGCTTCCTTTAAAATGTGACGAGACCACGGCAGCTGTTGTAAACAGCAGTTATTGTGTCTCTCTTATTGAGAGGGGTACGGGGCCAAGGTCAAACTCAGAACCACCCAGCTTTTACATGAAATCCAGCGGTTTTGTGAAGGGAGATTTCAAGACTGCACCAGCGGCGTGGGCATCGCTGAGAGCTGTGGTCCACAACCAGGCTCGGTCTCATCAGTCGGGTACCGTGTAGAAGAGTCCAGCTGGGACGGGCGTGGTGCGCCCCGTGGTAACCGTGTGCCCCCCGAAGAAAGTGCCATCCTTCAGAGCAGCACCCAGGGTTGCTTTCAACAACCACCCACCCTCATACAGCATCTTCCCGGAAACCTAGAATAAGTTCCCCGCTGAAGATACACAAAGAACTGAGCACAGTCAGGTCGCATAACAGACAAGGTTTTTTTTTTTTTTTAAATATACGTTTATTTCTCAAACTCAAAGCGCTATTTCATCAAGTTCTAATACATTTTGCATTGACAAGTGACTTTACCTGCTTCACGTAGGAAGGTCAGTGACCATTACACCAGAGAGGAAACCTCACGCATCCTAGGCACCACTAGCAAATTAACATTTCGAAGGTTACACAAATCTAGAGGAACAAAAACTTTCAATTTAGTCTAATGAGTGTCTTACTTTTACCTACATGAATTTGGAAGTTAAGGGATATAAACTCTCAATTTTCCTAAAGCAGTTTTTTTTTTTAATCCATAAAAAAAAAAAAAGCAAAACATCCAGATGGCCTGGAGGTTTAAAACACCCACAGATCCATATTATTAAACGACTTCCTCTTTGGTGGATGGTCTCCTCACCTCCTATGCAAACATGAAAATTTGTACCAACTCTCACCAGCCCAGGCAAAAATCCAAACATTTTTTTTGCTGACACTTAACCTATTTTTTGTAAGTGATAGGTCAACAAAATTTAGAACTTGAACTCACAAAAAAAGCATTTTCGTTTCTGATTCTCACCTTGGCAGTCTCCACAAATAATCCTGAAAAGTTGCCAGGTCTTTTTAAATATATGGCTCCCTCCCCCCACCCCCCAACACACACACACACACACACACACACACACACTTCCCCTGGTCCTCTGAATGTCACTGGCTGGTTTGGAATATGTTCCAAAGTCAGCTGTGACATTCTGGTCTCTGCCAGGTTAAGGGCACAAACGCAACCTTGGCAACTCAAAGTTCTGTCACCTCACAGTCAGACCCCCACCCCCCCCAAGGGTTCGCCCTAGTGTGGAGCCCCAATCTGACACCCCAGAAGTAACAGCACAGCTGAGCTTCGGGGTCTCTCCTCACAACTGGGTAACTGCCATTTATTTTCTGAGAGAGGACAGTGAAGCTTAGAATAGCTGCACCCTAAAACAAGGCACCAGTCCCAGGAGGCTCACTAGAGAGGAGGGATTGATTCCGAGAGTCGGCAAGCTGCTTTTGATTGGCACCATTCCCCCCAGGGAAGAAAGCGGTACTAGTTCAAATCCTCCTACCGGGAAGGGAAGGGGCCAGCGCCGGTGGAGAGGCGCTCGCCATTTTTTTATTAATGCATCGTCACAAAACCAAACCACACAGAGACAAACCCACACAGAAAGCCCACAGGTTCACGCGCAGCTCACCGTTAACTCAAATCTCCAGGGGAAAACTCACACTGGGCGGAAGAAAACTTAAATGCCAAACCGCATTTGCTGTCATCTATCAGGAACCCAGCTTTGCTCCTCCCCGACTCCCCCATCTGCCAGGCCTCCGGCTGTGGCTCAGGCCACATCCCACAGGCTGTCGGCAGGAACCCTGATTTAAGGTGGTGCTGATTCGGAGTTGAGTTTCCGAGTTGGAGTTATTGAGTGAGGAACAGCGTCTCCCTGCCAAGGTGAGGTCTGAGGGGGAGACAAGCGCAGGGCCAGGAACTCAGCGTGTGTGCCCTTCTGCCAGCTCCAGGGGCGAGGTCCTGCTTCCCTGGTTCCCAGCGGCAGGCGGGAGGCCAGCTGCACACCTGCAGGAGGCCTCGGAAAGCCATCCCGAGGAGCCAAGGCGGCTGCCGCATGCACGCGAGAACTTGCACTTGAACGTGAGTGCCCTTGGCCACCGCCGCGTTTCATGTTACTCAACACGCAGAAAAGAAGAACCACTGGGCCCAGAGCGGGTTCAGAGTGCCCCGTGCTTGTGAGCAGCATGAAAGTCAGGCTGCAGCTGGGATTTCCAGACACCTGAAGCCCAAGGTTACCAGGCTGATCTGAGGCAGGCAAAACGCGCCCAGAGCGGGTGGAGACGGCCAGCCCGGTCCCTGCAGCTTCCACCCTGATGGCTCTCCAACACGTCTCCTCTCAAACTCCACTGCAGAGGGGCTGCCTGAGACTTCAGGTGAAAAGACTGTACCAAGCTGGCCGTCCTGCAGGGATGGCCAAGAACTGGGGGGCTGGGAATTTCTAGCATCTTCTGTGCCTCCCATAAAAGGACTAGTACCAGCTAGGAAAAACAGTGAGCAGGAAGAACACCAAGGACACACTGAAATTTAATTCCTTGGTGGGGTTCTGGCCCTACCTTCCCCGGGAGCCTTACGCCCCCTCCCCAAGCCTCCTGGGCGGATGCAGTACTGACCTGCTCGCAAGGGCCTTGGTGCTGCAGCTTCATCAGAGTTAACATGTGGTTAAACAGATCTGCCATTGGGGGCAAACATGCTGACCACAATGGCAGTCGTTTAAGGTCATGGATGACCACCTTGTTTTTCAAGTCGGGATTCCCTTTTCACACTGAAGCGCCCCGCCCCGCCCCGCCCCTCCAATGTTGATGGGCCTTGACTGGCAGCCAGTGAATTTACATGTGACTGGCTCCCAGGGAAACAGGAGCTGGTTACACTAAGAAGTGGCCTCTGTCCACCTAATACAGCACAACCTGGAGACCAGGTAAGCCTTGGGGTTCAGTCCTGCCCCATCTGCTTTTAAGTAACCAAAACATCACATTCTAGAAAAAACAAAACAAAAAACACACAACCCACCTGAAAATATAATCTTCAGAAAAAAGTAAACCACTCCTTTTCTATGAAGCATTTTTGCATCAAGGTAATGTCATTGCTTATTAAAGCAAGGAGAAAGCAATCCCTCTGGGCTTCGGTTTTCTAGCCGCGGGGGAAACTGAACATCAGGGCCACGAGTTAGATTAAATCACCTTAGAAACCAGGCTGGCTGGCAATATTGAATTTCTTTGCCCTTGATACCCTGAAGTGATGCTTGCTAAGAGATCGTACATGAAGTTTCAACACACAGAATCCCTTCTTTAATCTACTGGGAAAGCAACAGCCTAGAACTCTCTATTTACTAAGCTTGCTTTAGACTAGAGGTTAATACTGTTTTCCTTCTAAAGTGCAGAATACAAACAGGTCTGGTCAAATCTACCGGAATAAGGAAGAATCTTCTTCATTCACTCAATTCTTCCCCAGGCACACCAGAATCGATCCTTGCCAGGGGCCTCCGCACGGCTGGGGCATACCAGGCCTGGCTGGACGCTCAGCCCCCACCTGATGCTCCATTCCACCCCCCACCCCTCGCACAGCACAGCGTAGGGACAGCAGTTCCATCCTAAAGCGACTGAGAGCCAAAGAACTCCACCCACAAGGGCAGGTCCTTCCACAGGTCACAGAAATTCCTGAATTCATTTGCTGTCAAACAAAACCTGGAGGAGAAAATCTCTACTTTCGAAAAACAACAACAAAAATAGTCAGCCCAAGTGCTCCAGAAAAACCAGCTTGTCATACTTGGAATGTGATCAGAGTGGGTTTCCAGTTAAAGCGTCAGTCACCACACGTCAGTCACAAGGACCCCGGGCACACAACCCTTCGTCTCGGGAGGAGAAAAACAAAAGTGATGAGCTGATGAGGAAACGAGAAGTGTCATTCCAGAAGAATTCCTTAAAGAAAAAAAATTTTTTGAACATTCTTGTTTCCTATTTACAATCACCCCCCACCACCATAATTCTATTTTAACATTAGGTTCCACATTTTATTTTGTTTTCAAGTTATAGTTCAAGAAAAGACCTTTTTTTTTCCTTTTTTTTTTTTTTCCTCAGCAATGTCTCACACAATTCCTCAGGATAGCACAGCATCTAAACCATATACCACTTCCAACCAGACCTCGATTCTCCAGCGACTGGCTTTGGTTTATTGATGAAAGCAATCCTCAGCTCTGCTGACAGGGAATGAACATAAACCACGGAGTCCTCTGAACAGAAAGGAGCACCCTCGTGTTTACAACGGCATGCCTAGCTAAAGCTGAACAAGAAAATAGACGATCAGCACAACTTTCGTGTCACTGAGAATCCCGGGGGAGCCAGGGCCAGCACAGCCTGCTCCTGGCTCCAGGGAGACGAGCAGCTTAGCCCCCCGCGTCGGCTGCCCACGCGTCCCCCAATCTCAGCGACCGCCCAGAGCTCAGGCCCCTGCGCTGCCGTTCGGGACGTGACGTGTGAGCGTCTGTCTGGGAAAGAAGTGGAGAGGCCATACTTCCTACAGCATTTTCCAAAGTGGCACTGCAATACCGGGTCCCTTCAGGGTTGGCTCATGATAGACTGTAGACCCACTGCAATGGGTCCACAAAGAAAAAAAAGCAGAATCAGAGCTGAGTTCCCCTTTAAAAGCCAAACACCTACATCTAGAAGGAGGCTCCCCTACCTGAGAGCCCTGCCCTCTGGGGGTTCCCCCCTGAGAAAACCCTCAGGTCTCAAGGTTAGTTACAGGGCAGCCAGGTGGGGTAGGGCTGGCTGTAGGTCACTGGAGGCTGGGCCACGTAGTAGTTGTTGAAGTTGCCGTCGCTGACGTAGGGAGCCGGCTGGTAGTAACAGGTGACGTTGGTGGCGCTGGGGATGATGTTCTGCTCGGCCAGCACGCGCAAGGCCAGGAGGGAGATGAGGTTCAGGGTCTGCCTGCGCTCGTGCCCCATGAGGCACACGGTGCTCTCGTTCACCACCCTGCGCAGGATCATGAGGTAGTCGTACTTGCTCCTCTCCTCCTCGGCGAAGTGGTTCTGCAGGTAGGTCTCCAGCTTCCTCTGCTGCTCCAGGATGTCCGGGAAGTCGATGAAGAACCGGGAGCACATGTAGCGCTCCAGCGTCTTGATCTCCTCCTGGTCGGCGGGCCTGAAGTCCCGCACGAGGAGGTTGCTGTACTTGAGCAGCCCGCCGCCCCGGATCTCCTCGGGGTTCTTGGTGGCGATGAGCCTGTTCTGCAGGTGGTCCAAGGCTTCCTCGAAGTCCCCGTACATGCTCTCCCCGATCACCGTGGGGTGCAGGAGCTCGGAGATGGGCTGGCTGGAGCAGTCGTAGAAGATGAGCAGGGAGTCCAGGATGATCTGGAAGGAGTCCACGCTGAACTCGAACTGGCGCCGGATGGAGTCGACGAACTTCAGCTCCACGTTCCTCCCGTTCTTGTTGGAGAGGGAGATGAGGCTCCAGCGGTCGGTGTCCGTGCACACCTTCACCAGCTTCTGCACGTAGGCCTCCTTCAGGGTCACCGGGCTGATTTTGAGCTTGTTCACGCCCTCCGGCAGGAAGTTCAGGAGGGAGCACAGGACCACGTCCCGGACCAGGTGGAATTCTACCTCGGTGGGAAGAGCCACGTGAAAGATGAGGTCCAGGTCTTTGCAGCCCAAGCCGTTGTCTTTGACCAAGACGTGGCCGGCGGCCGAGCCGTTCAGACGGACGTCCTGCACCTGGATGCCTGCCTCCTCCAGGCGGCTGCGCACGGTCTGCACGATGTCCTTCAGGGTGAGCTCCAAGGTTGGGAAGTTGCCCCGCCCGTGGACGGGCACGACCTCGTTCAGCACCTCGTGCAGCCGGCTCACCTGGTCCCAGCTGAGCACGCTGCAGGACGCACAGTCCCCGCGACTGCTGCTCTCCTCCGCCATCGTGGGGGACGTTCTTGCCAGGGAAACTGAAAGTGGGGGGTGAGAAACAGAGTTAGGGTTCACTTCTACGTGGCAAAGCAGCTCCAGGGACTCGGGGTGATTTTTCTCTGAACTTTTTCCTGTAAACAGGGATGCGTGGCCCCTACTGCCGGGTGCTGCTGTGAGGATGAAGGGCGTTAAGTGCATCAAGAACAGTGTCTCCAGGAAGTAAGGACAAAGCACACACGTGGACCCTGTACCACACTGGACGGCTTCACAGCTTTGTCTCAGTGTGTGTTGTTTGCTTGTTTGGTCTGAGTGAGCGGTAGCGGTGGGGGTGGGGGTGAGGGGGTACTGCATTGGTTTGTGTGATGAGAAGGAGACAAACTCGTTACCCCAAGCAGCCTGAGCACATCATTAGTCACTAGAGGGCCCACAGGTTTTGCTACGTGTCCTTGTTTTCTGTGGACATGACCTCTCCTGCTCCCTAACTGCATCTTAACTGGTTGCTACCAAGGCTACACACAGCACACAGGAGCCACAGGAAAGCCTTCCTTCACCCCGTGAACAGATGAATTCTCAAGTCGGGGCTGTAACTGCCCAAGAGGAGGGAATGGGTCAGTCCCATCAGGGGCAAGTGCACTGCGGTCCTGTTGGCAACAACCCCATGTCCTTGTGCTTGTGGGAGGGGTCTGCCGAGGAGGTGACTGAAGTCCTGGACTGCAAAGGGCTGGCCAGCTGTGTGGGGAACAGCTCTGCCCGCCAGGAGGCCCGCGCAGCCTGCGGGGAGCTTCCTCAGGGGACCGTCACCTTCCAGCTGTGGTTGGAACACTAGCGCCTTGGAACTATCCCAGGAGGAGGAAGCTCGCGCTCAGCACCAGGAGAGAAGCATCACTGCGAGAGCCCAAAGTCACCAAAGCAATTTTCAACTAAGTTACACTTTGCTGAAAATGAAACGGTCAATTCCTGGACATCCTAACCTATTAAAAAATACTGATATATCGGAGTCCAGGTGCCGGTGGACCCACAGGGACGGAGGAGCTAAAACAAAAGGTCAAGGTGCTGCCCTCAGACTTCACGGGGGCAGCTTTCCCACCTGTCACCTTCCTGACCCGCTGGACACACAGAACCGCCCCAAGGACCTCTGCGGTGCACTGCGTGGGAGCTGCTGCTTCGGATGCACAGCTAGCACGCGCGGTCCGGGGTGCCAGCTTGGATTGTTAGCCTTGCTCTGGGGTCAGGGGTCCTTGCCTTACCTAGGGCGCTCACATCGATGGGGTGGTTGTCAGGGTTGGGGCGCCATTGGACAGAGTGAGCCGAGCTTTCCAGGAGCTGGTCATTAAGAAGGTGGGTGTGACAGACAGAAAATGTACTAGGAGGGTAGGAGAGAGAAGTGTCCTTTGATTGGGGGAAACAGGAAGACCACTTATGGGGATGGGACACAAGACGACTGAAAGGCAAAATGAGCTTGAGGCTGGAATCGAGGGGCAGAGGCAGCACGCAGCCAAGACCTGGCCACGTCCATCTGGCCTTAATGCACCTCTCCTCAAGCCAATCAGAAACAATATATGCACCCCTATTTCACAGCAGGGTTATTTACAACAGCTGAGATCTGGAAACAGCCCAAGTGCCCATCAGTAGGTGAATGGATTTAACCGTTTGGCTGCTAACGTATTTTTTCGGACATATGCCGAAACTGCGGCACTAATTGTGCGTGTATGGGAAAAAATGTAAAACACTTTTTATACAAATTCTAGTGTTTTGGAGCAGCATTATTACGCTCTCCGCAGTCTTGGCATAAAAAAAAACACAGGAGCGCTATCGTGCTCTTCGCATTTTTGGAGTAACAGAAGAAGAGCGAGATAGCGCTCCTTAGCAGTCAAACGGTTAAAAAATGTGGTACATTCACACACTGGAATATTACGTGGCTGTAAAAAGGAAGAAACTCTTACCTTTTGAGATAGCAATGATGGACCTGGAGAGGACTGTGCTAAGCTGACAAATACCATACGATTACATGTCCATGTGGAAACTAATGAACAAAATAGACTGACAAATGAAACAGAGCCAGAGGCATGGATACTGAGACAGACGTCAAGTGTCACAGGGGAATGACTGGATGGAAGGTGAAGAGATTAGCCAAGGACATGTATGCGTAGCCCATGACAGAGACAACAGTGTGGTGAGGGCCAGGAGGGGAGGGCGGGGCATGCGTAGAGGCGGGCAAAGAGGGGGAAATGGGGACATCTGTAATAGTGTTAACTGAAAAAAAAACAAAACCTTAAGTATAAAATATGAAACCCTAAGAGTACTAGGAAAAAAACATGGTACCTATATACTGACATAGTCCTTTCTACATCATATAAAACCCCAAAGTCACACAAAAACTGATATATTTGCCTATATAAAAATTGAAGTTCTACATGGTAAAAACACCATGAAGGAGTCAGGAGACAAAGAGAAATATTTGTAACATTAGGCAAATATTCCTTAATGAATAACAAGCTTCTACAGATCAGAAATTCTCCAAACCTAATAGAGGAAGGGTCAAAGGGCATGGACAGTGGCTCAGATGCACAACATTCAACCTTCCCTTAAAGGGACGGGCAGATGAAGACTTCAGTGTATCCTTCTGACCTATCAGATTGGCAAAGACCCAGCAGCAGTCACCTTGGGTACATGCCCGGGGCTCTCTCTAGAGAACAATGCAGCACTCTTGGTTTCCAGGGGCCATATCCTTGGACACCGCGGTTCTATTTCCAGGAAGTCTACTTGTGGTGTTATCCCATGGACATGCTTGCAATTATACACAAAACCTGGAGAATTATGTATAAAGCTACACATACCAACGCATGCGGTTGTCCGAAAGAAGAGTGACAGCTCTATCTGAATGAACATGAAGTGCTCATTAAGATTTATTAACAGAAAAGCAAGTGCAAAACTGTGTGCAAAAGTATATACGTCTGTGCTTATGCAATCTGAAACATCTGGAAGGACACACAGTAGTTCAGCCCGCACCAAATACCACCCCAAGCTGGCAGACAGAGGGCGAAGAAAAATGTATTGTATCCCTTTTGAATTTAGAACCTATACATGTGCTAGCTGAAAAAAGCTAAAGTCTTATTATCCGTGTTCTAAAATCTTCCCCCATCGGCCTCTACTCATCTGCTACCTTACTGAATCCCTTCAGTGCCTTTCCTGTCCCCTCCCCACCATCCCCATATCCATGTGACAAAGTCAAACACACGTAGAAGCTTCCGCTCCAAGCCTTCAATGCTGATCTCCAGGGGTGGGCAGGGGAGGGGAGACCATTTCTCCTCAAGGGTGGCTTCCAGCCACATTTCTACTTATGTTCTATGTAAAAGAAGATGTCCACTATTTACCAAAACAAAAGAACCACACTACAAAATAATGGATAAGCCATCTCATCTAGCTTCTTTCTATGTTTGTTATCCAAAAATGTTTCTTGTAATTGTGTAAGAATTGCTGTTTCTCATTTCAGACACATGATAGCCACCCTCACATGACACTGTTATGTTGATTATGAGCTACAGCGGCAAGGGCCTTAATAAATGCAATAACATTTTCAAGACTGTCCCATGCCTGTGGTTGGCTTCTCCCATGCCAATGTCTTCTGACACACTCATGAAGAATGGAGTTAACTTGTAGTGGTCTGTATATGAGCACAGTGTGGGACACGGCAAACACCAAGTCCGTGGTGTAGTTTCTCACTCTCCCCATTTACCATGACTCTGAGAGGAACTCACGCTACTGAAGGCGCAGACTTAGGCTGGGTTCCAATTTGGTGCTTAGTTGATAGGAGAACCCGGGATGAGGTATTGATCCTACTAGCAAGGAATCCTTTGTTTTCCCTCACCGATCCAAGCAATTTCAAACATCAGAAGCACATTTTCCAGTTGCTTAGACAAACATTGGTATTACTAATAAATCCAAGTCACGGGCCCTTAATGCTCAGAGAACACACCGGAGCTTAGTGGAACAGTTTTCATTTTAATTAACCACACGAATCAACATTGGTATAATCCCCATATGAAAGGATCACATGAAACACACATTCCCAGCTCACGAAAGGCCCTGGTTCAAGGCAAATTCTAGTTCAAAAATTCACAAAACAGTAAAAAGAAATTAATTAGAAGCCTGGCAAAGTCCAACGGCAGTGTTTTGATTTCCCTTTCACTGCCTGGGAAGCAGTCACTGTGCTCTGCACAGAGGGCACTGGACAGGCAGGGGCCGCGATTTCTCATTGATTTGAAAATTCAGGCACCTTTTCACAGGTGAGGATGACCAAGCTCTTTAATCTTTTTGTGTCTGACTCATGACGAACAGCTCTCTTGGGTGCCCTTGAACCCCTTTCTTCCCTCCTCTGGCTGTGACACATGAAAAGAACACAGGTTTGCAGAGGTAGCAACAGAAATGGGAGGGAAAAGCCAAAGGAGGTGAGGAGGGGAAGCCAAGCCCCCTGAGGAGAGGCCATGTCTAACTCAGGTTTGCTCCCCCGCTGCCTGGGACGGAGCCACTCCTTACAGGATGACCTGAAAACCCGTGTTTGAGCCCATTAAAGGAAGGGGAAAGCAATGTCTATCCTGCTCCATAGCTAATCTAGATCCCAGCAAGCCTGAGGGTACGCCAGGCAGGCAAGCAGGACAGGCAGGGGAACAGCTGGAGGTGAGAGCACCTAGACAGGTATAGCACTTCCGGGTCTCAAGATCAAAGACGTAGGTCAAATCGACACTCACTCCTACTTGTGACTAGCATGAGACAGACACTGTCCAGCATCCGCTGTGTATGTGGAGACGCGCCTCCCCGGGGAAGGACGGTGCATATGCAAGTCCAGGGCTGTGATATTTAGTGGGAAAGCCCTAGACACTCCTATGCAGCTGCCATGGAAATACTGCAGCTCTCTGCAGCCCCTCGTCCAGCCCAGAGACCACTGGGCCACACCCCCACCTGCGCCTGCTGTAGGTTTAAAATACAAAAGAAACCCAAACGCATTTCAGCGTTCCTTTCGTGGTGGACTTCCCTCAGT